TTCCAGCCCTAATTTATATACAGTGGCTCACAGCTTATTTTATGCAATGCATATTTCCAACTTCAAAGCATTATAACTAAGTAACTATAAGGAATATCAAAAAAAAAAAATTGTGTACTAATAGAAAGAGCAGGTATTCTTGCTTAACAAAAGGACTTCATTTATTTAAAAAAACTTATATTTACATAACTTAAAAATTCGAAAACAAAAAATATTGCATTTATTCTAGTCATTTTATGCAGGAACTTGAAATTTTGTAACTTATGTAGGTAAATTTTTTTTCAGTTTTTCTAATATTTTGTATAATATTCTTTAGTGTCTGCAATAGATTTAAGGCGGCTTGGTATTGATGCTACTAATTTTTTAGTGATATCAGGCGAAATATTCTCCCATTCCGTTTAAAAGCCTCTTTAAGGTCGTTTTTGTTAGAAATTTTATGTTTTCGTATATTATTTTCCAATATAGACCATACATTTTCGATAACATTGATGTCTGGCGACTGTGCTGGCGGTGTCATCAGATGGGGACAATCGTATATCAGCCAGGTTTGCACAATACCCGATTTGTGCTTCGGATCGTTATCCTGATAAAATCGAAAATGTGATCTTATGCCCAGATCCTCGGCACTCTGCAACAGATTAACCTTCAAAATCTGAAGGTACGTAATTTTGTTCATTGTTGTTTCAATAAAGGCCAACTTCCCAGTACCAGCAACTGACATGCAGGCCCAAACCATGACGCTGCCACCGCCATGTTCGATCGTTGGCCTCAAGTTTTCTTTATTTAGCTCCGTATTCGGTTTTCTCCAAACATAGGACATACCATCCGAGCCGAAGATATTAAATTTCTATTCATCCGCAAAGATAACAGAATTCCAGTACTCTGGCGACTTGGAAACATGTTCTTGGGCGAAGCTGAGTCTGCATTGCCTGTTTTTTGGGCTGATGAAAGGCTTTTCCGTGATACTCGGCCATGAAAATCCTGTTTACGCAGTATACGGCGAACAGTTTCCACACTACATTGTTTCCCAAGGTCAGCTTGAACTTCAGAAGCTAATTTCGGTGCGGATAGTCTGGGATTGGCCTTTACCTTTCGCACAATATATTGCTAATCAGTGTCACTGAAAATTTTGTTTGGTGCTTCTCTACCTTTACTATGCACACGATTCTCATGAACGAAGCGCTCGATAACTTTTTGTACTGTAGGGGCTTTAATATTTACCATTTCAGCTGTGTTTCGCTGCGAGCGGCCGTTTTTAAAATGGTGAATAACCAATTCTCGTTTCTCTACCGTCGTTCGCGGACCCAGTTTCAATAATCACAGAAGTAGACACTTCAAGCGACAAAATCAAAGTAAAACGTAACACAGTCAAATTACAAAAATGCAGCAAAGGCACAGAAAAAGAAGTTACAGTTAGAATGCGCAAATATTCTGTACCGCTACACAAAGAAGTGAGTGCATAAAATAAGCTGTGGCTAGTGAATAAGTAGTATTTTTTGTTTTCTTTTTATACCTTTCATGAGCATGAAATGGTATTATAACTTTGGTCCGACGTTTGTAAGTACCAGAATAAAAAGAGATAGACCCATTAAAATGTATACTTATATGATCAGAACGTCGAGCTGAGTCGATTTAACCATGTCCGTCTGTTTGTATGCAATCTAGTCTCTCAGTTTTCGAGATATCCGGATACAATTTGGTAGATGGGTGTATTTTTATAATGTATTAATTATTTGTCGGAACCGGAAGAATCGGACCACTATAACATATAGCTCCCATACAACCGATTGTTCAGATATGAGATTTTTCGTTATAACTTCTCCATTTATGCAGCTAGGAACATGAAATTATCAACAGAATACTTACAGTGAAAATTACAAAGATCGGGTCACTATAACCTATAGCTCCCATACAACTGATTGTTCACATATAAAATTTTTCGTTATAACTCCTCCATTTATATAGCTAGGAACATGAAATTCTGCACTGTTTTCAATAATTACCAACAGAAAACTTACAGTGAAAATTAAAAAGATGGGGTAACTATAACCTATAGCTCCCATACAACTGATTGTTGCTAGGACCATGAGTTTTCGCGCTGTTTTCACTTATTATCAAAAGAATACTTTCAGTGAAAATGGCAAAGATCGGGTCGCTACAACCTATATCCACCATACAACCGATTGTTCAGATATGAGATTTTTCGTTATAACTTCTCCATTTATGCAGCTACGAACATGAAATTTTGCAGTACTTGCACCCATTATCAACAGAATACTTACAGTGAAAATTACAAAGATCGGGTCACTATAACCTATAGCTCCCATACAACTGATTGTTCAGATATAAAATTTTGCGTTATAACTCCTCCATTTATATAGCTAGGAACATGAAATTCCGCACTGTTTTCAATAATTATTAACAGAAAACTTACGGTGAAAATTACAAAGATCGGGTAACTATAACCTATAGCTCCCATACAACTGATTGTTCAGATATGAGATTTTTCGTTATAATTCATCCATTTATGTAGCTAGGACCATGAAATTTCGCGCTGTTTTCACTCATTATCAACAGAAGACTTACAGTGAAAATAACAAAGATCGGGTGACTATAACCTGTAGCCCCCATACAACTGATTGTTCAGATATGAGGTCTTTTATCATAACTCCTCCATTTATGCAGCTAGGAACATGAAATTTCGCACCATTTTTGCTCATTATCAACGGAATACTTACAGTGAAAATAACAAGGATCGGGTGACTATAACAAATATATATCTTCCATACATCTGATTGTTCAGATATGGGATTTTACTGTAAAACTCCTTTATTTGAACAGCTAAAACCGATAAATTTCGTAAGATATTTTATAAATAATAATACAAAGTCTACTGAGAAAATCGCCAAAATCTATGCTGTATAAGCTTTATCTCCTATACCACTGATTGTACAGATACCAGTTTTTGTGTTATATCTCCTTTATGTAGGAAACTAAACCTAATAAATTGTGTTACCGGTTTACATACCGGGCACATAACAGTGAAAATCACTTAGATTGGTGCTAATATAAGGTATATCTTCCATACCTCTGATTGTTCAGATGCGATTTTTTATATAGGTATGTAACTCCTCTATCGATGTATGCAGATGTATTCAAAAGCAGTAATCTGTCAAAGTAAAATTTGCAGATGTTCATGAAAGGTATTAGGCCTTCGGCATAGCCGAAGACAGCGCTGCTCTTACTTGTTATTAAATTGTTTATACGCGTATTTTTACCATAAGTGAAGTCTTTTTGTAAGACAAGAGATCTTACTCTTTTAAATGAAACCAAAATTGTTTTTTTTTTAATCATTGTTAGTTTGAAGTTACAGAGCTCTAAACTTGAAAGTATGACCTGCATAAAATAAGCTGTGAGCCACTGTACATAATGCATACAGTGACTTTCATAATTCCTAAAAATTACGCTTTGTTTGAAATGTGAAGTCAACTTAAAAGAATAGAATAGGAAAGAAAGAAGGAAAGAAGTTAACGCGTTTACCTCTGTGCTTTTTTTACCTTTGTTTATAAACCTAAGTATGTATTATGTTATTTTGTGTAATAGATGTGCACATTTTATGACGATTGAACTATATAGATTTGTTAAGACCAAAGAAATAAATGGTAGTTACATAAATAGTAAGATGAAAAGTTAATTATATATCTTAGCCATACACCAGTTTAACGTGAAAAAGGACGAAGTCCATCAGTGTCATATTACTTTCTTCTTTTTTTGGAAATCTCCAAGGTCATTAAAATTTTCCGGCTCCCATGAAAAGATTAACCGTTTGAATGCCTTAATAAAACTCGCATAACAATAGTTGCTTCAGAGCTACCTGTAGTAAATCCTCTGATTCTAATGGAAGAACGCATGTGTGTGCAAACAACGCATTCTACCTGATGGGTTAGTCATCGATCTTTGGTGCGAGCCTAACTTTAGTGATTTGCATATAAGTGCTTACGTACGAATTCCGCATTTAGTATAAATGAGTTGATATCGCAGTGCAGATCGCCGTCAAGGAAGCAAGCAAAGCGTATACAGAAGGATATCAGAAACCGCGTAAAGATTTTAGAAAAGCACGTAAGAATTACTCTGTTACTTATTTTTATATCAGAAACCTCCATTTTTTAAACAAGGAAAGCAGTCACCAATCGCAGCCCAGTACATAAAAAAAAACGAACTCAGTCCGCCATTCTTTATTCGACTTTCATGGGAATAAAAAATATTTATTTTTTTATAGCTACATAAGTAAATATGTAGGCACTCGCACAACCCCTCAGTTCATCGGTATAAACCACCAAGCATAAGTAAAGCGCTTATTTACTTAGCTACTTTGTAATGTGTACATGCTCACAAATGCATATAGTCGGGTGAACTGCTGCAAACAAAAGCAGAATACATTACGACCCTCGAGTACACACCATTGAAGCTGCCTGGAAAAAATCCTCCCCTTAAGTTTGCGTACGCGTGCTAAAAATGGCAGTAAATTCCAATTTTTATTGCCTTTTTTGTCGACCTTTTTCCCACTTTTTTCGCGGCCTCGTATATGTATACAATTGGGAGAAAAACTTGGATTATAAAAACGACGACAACATCACTCATATACACCGAACCCAGCAACGGGGGAAGTAGCATACATATGTATGTATATAAAAATGAGTGGCATAATGGTCATATTCCACCCCCTAGCCCTCAACAAAAGAACAAAATATTTAAATTGCTTGCTTGGGAGTAGCACTGTTAGGGGTGGTAAAAATGAAGAAAGGAAACTAAGAAAAACATCTAAAATGAAAAATCAGCGCACGCGCAATACGCGTGTCGAAAACTAAATTATAAATTTTCTGTTGCTTTGTGAACGATGCCTATTGTAATTGCCAAACGTTTTTCGCAGAGTACTAATTATATTTTATTTTTCTGTTCCATTGCAGGCTGATTAAAGAATATAGGAAGATTGCAGATACGTATTGACATTTTGAGGACAATATGCAGAACTGGGACGCTGTGCAGACCGCCTCTGTAAATTATGAGCAGCACAGCATCTGGTACAACAATATGTTTTCCACCACAAATATTAAGACTGAGCCTGGAGTCAAAAGTCCTTCGCTGGAGGAGCAGCCGAGGTCGCCAACGTCTGGTGTTGATGTAATATCCCACTTAGAAAGTTATTTGAAACAACAGCCCTCACATACGCCACGCCAAATATCAGCGATGGACACGCTATCGACGATGACGCCATCTCCCAGTAATACAGACAGCATGCACCATTTATATGATGGAAACATACAGCAACAGTTATTGCAACAGCAACAATACCAGGAGCAGTTTCAACAAGCACAGCAATCAGCCGCACATAATCATGTGACGTCTTCGCATTTACAGCTCGGATTCAACCCACTCACACCACCAGGACTTCCAAATGCGATATTGCCCTCCTTATCCCGCTTTTATCATCAGCCCAGTATGCCAAATGGACAGCAAACACCGAGCCCGCAGCCTCCTCAAACACAAATGGTGATACCAATGGAATCAAGTGAAAAAGAGCAAACGGCTTTAACGCCACGCAATACACCACCAATGGATATTACTCCACCGAAATCGCCTAAAACCCAGGCTACAGCTGGTTCAGAGAAACTCACTGTGCGGGAGAAAGACCAAGATGCGCAATCCAACTCTAGTGAAGACATCAAATATATACAGGAATCAGAAGATGACGAATTGATTCGGTTACCTATTTACAATTCGCATGGAAAAATGAAAAATTACAAATGCAAGTCCTGTGGAATGATTGCAATAACAAAAGTAAGCTTCTGGGAGCATGCACGAACACATATGAAGCCCGAGAAGATTCTACAATGTCCGAAGTGCCCGTTCGTTACAGAGCTAAAACATCACCTTGAATACCATATACGAAAACATAAAAACCTCAAGCCCTTTCAATGCGACAAATGCTCGTATACATGTGTAAACAAGTCGATGTTGAATTCCCACCGCAAGTCTCACTCCACCGTTTACCAGTACCGTTGCGCAGACTGTGATTATGCCACTAAGTATTGTCATTCATTCAAATTGCATCTACGAAAATATGACCACAAACCGGGTTTGGTTTTGGATGAAGAAGGTATTCCAAATCCCTCGGTGGTGATTGACGTGTATGGCACACGACGCGGGCCGAAATCAAAGTCTTCCGGGACGAACAATAAGCGTAATAATAGCACAAATAGTAGCAACGCCAGCAATGAACGCTTAACGGTGAAGTCGGCACACATAAAAAATGGCAGAGACTTTAAATTATCCGCATCCCAACTTTCGGTAGCTCTGCAGTCTTTTTCTTTACCACTGCAAAATCACCAGATGCCTGTATCGCCTGCAAAGAGTCCAAGTTCAGTAGCGTCTGACCAACCAATGCTGCCAATTGGTTTGTCTCAACTGCACAACCAGCAGCTACCTCAGATGTCGCAACAAGCACAATCAACGTATCAAGAACGGCAGACCATGAACCAAGGTCAACCGAATGGTAATGTTAAAGTCTCACCTGCCAACTCCACTATTACAGATGCAAAAGCAGCCATATCGAGTCTCTTGCCACCACTTGCTTCTATTCTCCAAAAGAATCCAAACATGGCGTTCCTCCCTTACTGGAATTTAAATCTACAAATGCTGGCTGCGCAGCAGCAAGCCGCCGTCCTGGCCCAAATGTCACCCAGCGTAGGCGAGAATGCACTACGCCAATTCCAGAGTCCTCACTTAAAGAAAGACGATAACGACTCGTCTCATAGCGATGATAATGAAGATGACGATTACGAGCTTGACCGAAAGTCAACCGACTCGGCCATGGATTTATCGCAAGGATCACCCGTAAAGGATGATCTCGAACATCGAAAAACTCCAGCACTTCCTGCTAACTTAGGACTCAAAGAGAAAACTACCGATACGCCAATCGCTAGCAATAACGGCGCCTCAAAAAGGAAGGGCCGGGTACTAAAACTTGACGCCATTCTGCAGGTGAAGTCTGCATCGCAATCAGCTGAAGATCTCGAAGAAAAATCAGAGAGTGTAGAAAAGAGTGCCGAACATATATCCGCTGCCGCATCGCCAAATAACACTATTGCGGACAATTCCGTAGGCCAAACAGATGAAAATTCCGATGATTGTGATGATCTTGTAAATAATATGAAACCCACGGTGAAAGATACTAGCACCAGCTCTGCATCGTCATCGGGAAACAGCTCTAATAGTTCTAGCAGTTCTAGTTCGTTAGTATCGGCTTCGAACGGTCCAGCTGCCTTTGGTGCTATGTATGAGTGCAAATATTGTGATATTTATTTCAAAGACGCTGTGCTCTATACAATCCACATGGGCTACCACAGCTGCGACGATGTCTTCAAGTGTAACATGTGCGGTGAGAAGTGTGACGGCCCGGTGGGACTCTTTGTTCACATGGCGCGCAACGCGCACTCTTAGTACATTAACAAAATAATTGCTGAAAAAACGCAGTAGCGGTTTAAAGTTGTATGTAAATATTATTGTAAATTTAGTTCTAATCTAGTAAAATCTAAGGCCAATGATAATTTAAACGATTTTTTAAGTAATTTTAGTTACATATACAAAATTGTATTCCACAATAATTTATTAATGGTGATAAATTAAATAATTTTAAGTCATTTATTTTGTCATATGAATTTCTAAAATTATTTTGTTATATCAAAAACTGATTGCATTACTCAAAATTATGTTCATACATATTATGTAGTAAGCATGTATGTATGTATATACATATCGCTCGTTTTGTGGGAGAACGCCATACTTAATGGTTTTAGTCAAGTTTTTCCCCTTTGAACCAAATTAAGTAAGTGTGTAAAAAACTATAATAAATATATTCATAAAATTAAATTGAGCAGAGCCGTGTTCAAACCTTGATTTGGTGCCTTACTTTGGTATTTTGTTAAAGACACTAAGTGGAGAAAAGTGAAGTTGCAAAAGAGACAAATTCTCTTCTTATGAGGCACAATAGAAAGATATCGGTATTAACTTTTTACAGAGCATAAAACAGGCATTTCTGCTAACATAACTAACTTCTGTTGGATTATGACGTTCTTCCTTAAAACGAGCTACTCATAAATTGAGGCAAGAAGTTTTAGGATTTGCCAAGAAGCTGAATTGATATATTCTCGCGAAAAGAATTTAGTCCCCGAAACCAAATATATTTTCTATGTAGTGTTTATTTATTTAATTTATTTATGATTATGAAACAAATAAAAAATATTTGATGAATGTAGTTAAGTTGTGTTCTCGTTAAGGGTTTTGTACAAACAAATGTATGTACATAGGTATTAACAAATAGCATGTACGAAAACTTATTTGTAAACAAATACAGAACTTTTCATAATAAACATCAGTAAAATACAAAAAATAAATATTTAGATGTTATATGTGACCTGGTCTACGAAAAGGGAGCTTACATGCGAAAACTAGTTTTCTGTGAAAAAGCTGTTAAAAGTAAGCAACTCGTTTCGTCAGTTTCTCATTATCTCGTTAATTGTTCTCCGCGCCGGACGTCCAGTAAGTGTTGTTGTTGGTCCAGTAAGTGTTGTTGTTGGTCGGAATATTATTATAGTTCATCGTGTAAGTTGCTAGTGTGGAACATTTAAATAAGTAACACTGAAGAAGTGACGTTTACATTTACATTTTTAGTACACTTCTAAGCAAGTTAGGATTTTCTGCTTTTCACCACGTGAAAAAGCATCTCATCTTCCATCCGAATCAACCAAAAAGTGAAAATTGATTTTTTGACACCTAAGCCCCCTTTCCGTAGACCAGGTCACATATAGTGGCACCCAAACAATTTTTTCAATCTACGTTACGAAGTTACGCCAGTCATTCATCTAAACCGCAGACGAATCATCCTGAACTAGATCATTCCATTGTGTTCCTGGGAGTCCTTGTTTTTGTTGTCATTGAATGAGTTTATCCTCAATTTGAAGTAATTTCAAGGCTCTTTTGATAGTTTTTTTCATATAAAATAACGTACACTTGAATAGGCACAATCCTTTTTCGCTGTTTTTTCTGGGATAAGCTGCCTTTAGACCAGTGATGGAAAAGTAGGCACAATTGAAGAGGTTAGAATCATAAGGGTCTAAGTGGCATTTTTTGAAAATATAAGATATGTCCATATTTGTATAGTTAAATATAGTGTTTATTTGGTGACAAAGAGATCCAAGTCATTTCGGACATTGTAGTGCCATCTATTGACCGGGCAATGAACATTTCAAATGAATTTACCCAGAATTTACAATAAGTAATAAACTTTAACTTTCATTATCTCAAAACAATGTCAGACCTACTTAGATCCTTTTGATTCTAACGCCTTCAATTGAATTTTTTCAGCCCTTTTATAATTTGAAAGTACATTCGGTACACATAGACGATTTTCGGTACATTTTCAACTTAGCCAAATAAAATTTCCAGGAATTTTCTCATACTTGCAGTTATATCAACCAAGTGCAGACTTATCCATCTGGGCTTCTCGCGAATGCACTCAAACCCATCTCTTCTTTATCAGACATCGTCTACCTTGCTGCGTCATATGAGCAGACAAGAATGATAAGAATTTGTTAATGTTATGTTCGTTAAGAAGCCCCCTGATGAGCCTACAGAAGCACCTGCGGACAAGAGTTACGCTTCCTTCGATCCCTGACCGACAGTAAGCTGGCTTCTCAGTAAACATACTTCGTTAAAGCTTCAAAGCAATGGCTGTGCACAGCGCCATGCCCCCTTTGTTTGATGCTAGGAGGTAATATCTCCTTTGATTTTTTGTTAACGTTTAATTTACATAAATTGTATACATAAAATTTAAAATTTTAAAAGGTGTCGGTGAAAATTTAAAATTTTCCATGTAAATAAAATTAAAAAAAAAAAATAGTTTTTATTAAAAATGTTATAACTATTGAACTGTTTGCCGTTTCTTGGCATATTCTTACAGGGCACTAAATTTTCTAAAAAAATTACTCTAAAGTTGATTATCTAGACTCAAAAATCCATATACCTACGGGCTATGAAAGTCGAAAAAAGCAGAAATATGCAGTTTTCGGGATTTATGATTACAAATATTTATGTTAAATAAAAAAAAACATACACTAGAATGATGCAAAATGTTGATTAGAAACTAGATTTGTCAGGGAAGAGAGAGTTGTGTGTAATCCATTTATTTATTTTTTATTGCATTTTTAAACGATAATATTTTTTAATTACGAATAAAATAAAGTTTATTGTAATTCGCATATTGCTGGCGATGTAATTGCACTACCTGCAAAAGAAATTGGTTTTGTTCTTGTTCTTTTGTCAAAGTTCGATTACAATTTTGTATCAACCTCGTTCAACAATATCATTAACGTATTTAATACTCTTAATCACCTCTAAGACAACTACCTTCAGGGTAATTAAAGAATTGAATGCCCTAAAAGAATATGCATAGAAAAAAGTTGTATCTCAAACGGTTCAATAGTTATAATATTTATAATGAAAACAAATTTTTTTACATGTTATTAACATGGAAAATCTCAAATGCGCACCGACACCCTTTCTTTTCTTCTCAGTAAATAGGTTATTTTATGGCCATAAATTGGTTAGGTTAGTTATTTTGATCACCCTAATGTAATTACATATTTTTTTGGGAAATTCGTCTGCAGTTAGGAACAATTTTTACCTCAAATTAAGTACAGTTTTAAAGTTTGATTTTTCATTCTTGCTTTAGACGGGTAGATTTTTGTCGACTGGAAAATCGTCTGGTGGGAAATTAAAAAAAAACTTATACATTCTCAAAAAAATTTCGAACTCTTTTTGAATTTTCTTGAGTGCCTATGTAGTTTTATAGCCCTTTCAATTTTAGCATAATAAAGTGATTTTCTAAAATTTTTACTAACGATCTTCCGCAATATTTTCCATTAAAAAAATGCTAGCATGCGTCATATAAAGTTTGTTGAATTTTTTGAATTTTCTACAAAAAAGTTTAAAATTTTGATGAAGATGTTTTTTTCTCTTAATTTTCTACAAAGTTTGAAACTTGCATGTATATGATTTTTGTTAGAGAATGAACTGTATTTAAATTACGAAACAACGGAAATCAAATAAAATAAAATTAACCCAGAAAAAGCAGCAAAAGACATTGTTCCTATTCAAGTCAATGGGAGTGAATAATAGAACATGTACGAAGATGGGTTACAGCACACTCAGGCGATGTCTGCATCGAAATTTGAGCGAAGTTCAATGTCAAGCGTAGCAAACAATAAGCAAATTAAACCATCAATGAAAGCATTTTTCCTGCGATTAGTGTGTTTTTCCCAGAAAGCATGTGTACAATGAACAGTAAAAAGTACATATCGTTTTTGAAATGTGTAACAAGATCTAAAAATTTAAATGAATCGATTTCGAAGAAAATGTCAGGGTCTTTCTACATTCTATTCTTCTTCTTCTTTATTGGCGCTGTAACCGCCTATGCGATTTTGTCCGAGTCCAAAACAGCACGCCAGTCATTTCACTTCTGTGCTAACTGACGCCAATTGGAAATGCCAAGTGAAGCCAAGTCCTTCTCCACCTGGTCTTTCCAACGCAGAGGATGCCTCCCTCTCTCTCTGTTACCAGCATCGCTGCCCGCGATGAATATTTTCAGAGCAGGAGCGTTTCTGTCCATTCGAACGGCATGGCCAAGCCAGCGGAGCCGCTGGGTTTTAATTTGCTGCACTATGTCTACATCGTTGTAAAGCTCATACAGCTCATCGTTAAATCGTCTGCGATATTCGCACTCACCAACGCGTAAAGGTCCGTAAATTGTTCGCAGAATCTTTCTCTCGAAAACTCCAAGAGCCGCCTCATTGTCCATGCCTCCACGCCATACACCAGTACAGGCATGATGAGTTACTTATAGAGTGTGATCTTTGTACGACGAGAGAGGACTTTACTTCTCAATTCAGCCTAAAGTAGCCCAAAGTGGCAAGGGTAATTCTCCGTTGCATTTCAAGGCACATTATTATTGGTGATCATACTGGTTCCCAAATAAACGAAGTCGTCTACTTTTTCAAACTTGTAACTGACAACAGTGACGTGTGTGCCAAGACGCGTTTGCTCTGACTGTTTGTGTGATGCCAGGACATACTTCGTTTTGTCCTCGTTCACCACCAGACCCATTCGCTTTACTTCTATATCTAATTGAGAGAAGGCCGAACAGACGTATCCCTTGGTCGATGTCGTCGGCATAAGCCAGCAATTGTACGCTCTTGTAAAGTATTGTGCCTGAGTGGTTCAGTTCTGCGCCCCTTATTAGCGTCTCCAACATCAGATTAAGGAAATCACATGAGAGGGAGTCACCTTGTCTGAAACCTAGTTTGGTATCAAACGGCTCGGGGAGGTCCTTCCCAATCATGACGGAGCTGGTGGTATTGCTCAACGTCATTTTACACAGCCGTATT